TCTCTCTCTCTCTCTCTCTATCAATCTATCTCTCGCTGGCACGCTCGCTCGCTCCACCTACATCTTCTTTTTCATGTCGACCCCATTAGGTTTTTTCTCTGCCTTAGTTTCTAAGCTGAAGCAATTTCCAACAGAATACAACCACAACAACAACAGCAGCAACATCATCATCATCAACAACAACAAAAACAACAACAACTACTACTACTACAACGACACCATGAGCTGCAAACAGTAAGTAACAGTAAAAGAAAGCAAAGGAAAAAACATGAACTTGTGAATAACAACAGGTCAAGGTTATGAAAAGAGCAAAAGTCAACCATCTTCATTGCACTGTTAAAGTTTATTTACTCTTTAAGACACTCTTTTGAAATGATACATTTTTTCTGATCTACTGGGTCTAGAAAAAGCTTAGTCTTTTTGACGAAATCAGGATAGCAGGATAGTTCCTCTTTTCAGAGGATGTGAGAAAGCTGGGGGGGGGGGTTATTTTTTAAAATCAAAATCAGGGACGAAGTGGGATGGGAATTCACTTGTTGATATTCTGCTTGTGGCGATCGAGCACGCTGACGTCACTCGCAAAATGAACAGCTCGCTGCCTTAGGGATCTGGAGATGTAGGAGAAACAGAAGGTGTTTCTTTTTGGTTAATTTAGGCAAAAGAAAAAAGACCTACAGTCCTCAGCATATTTTTGTACAAAAGATATCAAGATATCAAGAGAGAGAGAGAGAGAGAGAGAGAGAGAGAGAGAGAGAGAGAGAGAGAGAGAGAGGGGGGGGGGTCGTGATTAAAAAATTTTTGAGTCTCTTGCTTCTAACATCTCTTAAAATCTCTTGACCAAATTATATCCAACAACACATATACTGATACGAGTGTTAGTCTGACGTAAAAAAAAAAAATACCTAAAACAAATTATGATCGTTAAGCTCATGCTACGGGGACGGAGGGAAAAGGGGATCGGAAGGAAAAGGGGATATAAAGATATAGGAGGGATGAGGGGATAAGAGGGATGATAGGAGGGATAAGGGGGTAGGCGAGATGAGGGGATAGGGGGGATGATAGGAGGTATGAGGGGATGTAAGGGTGTAGGGAGGTCGGGGGATGGGATGGGAAGGAATAGGAGAGGATGGGGAGGAGCAGGATGGGAAAGGTTGGGGGGTATGGGGGGGGGGTGGACAGGGAATAGGGGGAGGGATGAGGGATAGGGTAGTGTATGGGGGATGTAGGCTATGGCGATGGGGTGGGGGGGGGAGTTGGAGCACGATGTAAAACATAATATTAAATATACAACTCTGGAATTTGCTTCTACTATTAGCCCAACCAGAGACCCCGGGCCAGGCAGTTAAGGCGACGACTACATGTATCTCGATCTATATTATAATATGATTATGAAATGACGAACATACCAGATCCGTCTTTGACATTTGTCTCCGTAGAACTCTGGTCGACACAGACACTTCGCGTTATCGCCGTTTGCAATGCAGGAACCTTTGTTCAAGCAGCCAAAGTCGTCGCAAGGGTCCTCGATTTCTGGTACAGATAGAGAGAACAGAACGTATTTCTATAGACCCACAGAAAACGTAGTTTTCTATTAGATTCCAAAGTCATATCACGGCAAATAATCTCAGTGAAGTTTGTCTATTAACATTCAGGGCATACATTCGAACCAAAACATCATTACTTGCTGTTTGTATTGACAATTAAATAGAATTGATGCAAAAAATAGTATGTGCCTTCTTACTCTTTCTTACCTTTCTGCAGCATGTGATACCGTTGATCAAGACATGCCATTTGTGCTACCTGTTTATTATTTAAGTAGAAACTCGAAATATTTTACAGACTGTGATTCTCACTGGCTTTGATCAGAACGAAGAGCAAAATTGTGGTTTTTGTTGAAGTTGATGTTGTTTTTGTTGATGGTGTTGTTGTTGTTGTTGTTGTTGTTGTTGTTGTTGTTGTTGTTGTTGTTGTTGTTGTTGTTGTTGTTGTTGTTGTTAGTGGTGGTGGGGTCGTAGTTAATTTCTCGATGCGGAATCTGTTATAAATATTGCTGTTGTTGTTGTTGTTGTTGTTGTTGTTGTTGTTGTTGTTGTTGTTGTTGTTGCTACTGTTGTAACTGTTGTTATTGTCGTATTAGTTTGTTGTTGTTGGCTTTTCTACTTTTGTTGCTACTGCTGCTGTAATTGTTGTTGTGCTATAATAGTTGTTGTCCTCGTTCTGGGAGTTACTGCTGCTGATGCCACACCTATTGCTGTTGTCCTTGATGTTATAGTTGTTGTTGTGTTGTTGTTGTTGTTGTTGTTGTTGTTGTCGTTGTTGTCGGGCTTTGTGAGTTGTGTACACATTTAAATTCTCCCATATTTTGAGGTCAGTTAATGACCCAATGTTGTCCTAATATTTTCCTTTTGTTTCCTGCAGGACTGCTTCCTTCTCCAGTCCATCCTATCTATCTATCTATCTATCTATCTATCTATCTATCTATCTATCTATCTATCTATCCAGCTAGCTGGGTTGCTAGCTTGTCTATTTGTACTTCTACTTCCCTATCAATTCGTTTGCCTGTTAATATGGCTGCCTAACTATCTCGCTACCTGAGAATTGGAAGCTTCTATCTGATGAATACATAGTTTTGAGATCTTTGACGTCACAAACTTTGAATTTCTCAAAATGCCAAGCTTTAGTAATGTTATGCAATTCTTTGAATATCTTGATAATGACTTCAAAGATAATCTTACTATTTTGATGGAGGAGATGGAACATTTGGTTTCTGACCAAACGTTCTTGATAACTCAAAATGGCGAAAAAGTGTCAGATAGAACTTTGTAATTCTAAAGTAGCGATATGCCTGTCTGTTGTCTGTCTTCCTGTCAATCTTTTTGGCTACCCGTCGATCAGGCTGTCTGATTGTCAGCCTGTTTATCTATCTATTCTGTATATCATATTATCATCATCATCCAGTGCCAGATCTGCGACAGACATCAGCGATCATGGTTTTCCATTCATTCCTTTGCTCGGATTCTCTCAAAAAAGCTACGTTACCCTGATCTTTTCCTGTTACTCATTTGTTTAGGTTCCCTAGGTATGTTGTTCTGGGCCTACCCCTGTCTCGCTTGCCCTCAATTTTGCCAGTGAGAGCTAGATGTTCAAGACCCTTGTGATACCATATTATACATTTTGAAAAAAAAAATACATTTTGAAAAAAAAGAAATACACACCAGAGCTGCAATCCTGTCCAGTATATCCTCGTGCGCAAGCACAGTAAGCGCGGCCAGCAAATTCAGTGCAGAAACCTCCGTTCAGACACTCGAGTTCATCACAAGAGTAATTGATTTCTGGTAGGAATAGAGTAAAAAAGAGGAACATTATTGTATAGAACTAGGTTTACAAACGGCATATTTTCTGATGGCTGTTTATTATAAGCGTATTGAGCTATAAACTCGGGATATGACTCATATTGGGAGTGAAACTTTTTGAGACTTACCTTGTGATTATTGTTAGTTTTGATCAGGGAGAAGAACATAATTTTTGCTCTTGTTAATGTTGGTACTGTTGTTACTGTTGTTGTTGTTGTTGTTGTTGTTGTTGTTGTTGTTGTTGTTGTTGTTGTTGTTGTTGTTGATGGCGTTGGTGTAGTCATTTGTTAGGTTTTTGTTTTTTTGTTGTTTTTGTTTTTGTTTTGTTTTTTGGTGTGTTTTTTATTGTTGTTTGTTTTTTGTGTTGTTGTTGTTGTTTTTTGGGGGGTTGGTGCTTCTTTTCTGTCCATATTTCTGTATGTTGATATGGATACATTCTTTTCTGTCTGCTATGAAGTAAGTCTGTCTTTCTGTCTCTGAGCATGTCTGTTTGTTTGTTTCTCTGCTTGCCTTTCTGAAGCGAGTTTTTTATTCCCGTTAGCTTATTGTTATTGTCGTTGTTATTTTTGTTCTTACAGCAATAGTCACCTTCGTCGTGGTTGAGGGTATTGCTGCTGTTTTTTGTTCCAGCTGCTGGTGCTGTTGTTATTGTCGTTGTTGTTGTTGTTGTTGTTGTTGTGGTTGTTATTGTTGTTGTTGTTGTTGTTGTTGTTGTTGTTGTTGTTGTTGTTGTTATCGACATGTTTGAGTAATAGTTTCAGGCTTCCTGACTCTCAGTCTGTTCATCTATCTATTCTGTATTTAAATTAATAAATAAAATTTAAAAAATACTTACTAATGCTGCATTTGTCTCCAGCATATCCTGGTTCACAAAGACAGTAAGGGCGGCCGTAGGATGAAGTACATTTACCTCCGTTCAAGCACTCGAAGTCATCACAAGCCTTCTTGATTGCTGGTACAGATAGAATAAACAGAACATTATTGTATAAAATGTAGGATTACACACTCCATTTCTTCTGGCTGTTTATCATAAGTGTATTGAAGTAGAAACACAAGGTATGACACATGCTAAGAGTTCAACGACTTATATAGTGATTCTTGTTAGTTTTGATCATTGCAAAGAGCATAATTTTTGCTGTTGTTGATGTTTTTGTTGTTGTTGGTGATGTCGTCATGTATTTGTTTAGTTCTATCTATCTACCTATCTATCTATCTATCTATCTATATATCTATCTATCTAACTATCTATCTATCTATCTATCTATCTATCTATCTATCTATCTATCTATCTATCTATCTGTCTGTCTATATATCTATCTATCTATCTATCTATCTATCTATCTATCTATCTATCTATCTATCTATCTATGATCCTGTCTGCCTGCCATTCAGTAGGCCTGTCTGTCTGTTTGTTTACCTGTACGTTTGTTTGTCTGTCTGTTTGTTCATATTTCTGTTTGTTGGTCTGCCTGTTAATTTGTCTATCTGTATGTCTGTCTTGTCTTGTCAGTCTATTTAGCGATCTCTGTATTTAAATAATAACAAATAAAAAAGATACATACGATTGTTGCAAATGCGTCCAGTGAAACCTTTTGCACAAATACAGAATTTTGATCGTCCAAACGCAATGCAGGAACCTCCGTTCCAACACTCGAAGCCCGCACAAGGGTCAAACTTTACTGATACAGATAGAAGAAACAGAAAGTATTTGTATAGGCACAAAGGTACACACGCAATTTCTGCTGGCTGTTCATTACTTAAATAGGTTGAGAATCGGGATATGATGGAGGCTGGGAGTTGAATTTTAGAGACTTCTTGTTAGCTTTGATCATGATGAAGCAAACATTATAAATAGCTGCTGTTCTTGTTTTGTCGTCGAGTTTTTTTCTTTTGCTGTTGCACCTGCTGCTGTTGTTATTCTTATTTTATTTTTGGCCTCTTTTGGGTAGTTATGGATATATATCTATGTGTTTATTCAAATGACAGACAGTCTGTCCATTTATCTACCTGTCTATCTCTCTGTATCCCTGTTTATCCATCTCTACGTATATTTTCCTTATGGAAATAATAACTTTGCAGAGGAAGACAGGACTAAAGCCAACATAAAAACCCTCAACTAACAGAACCCCGTCTTCTTAATGATTATTTACATAAACATCATCCCACATCATCACTTATCACCACCACAACCGTCATTTCTAAATTCATCATTGCTCTAAGATCCTTCACATACATCTATAATTATCTTGAACATCTATGTGAAATAGTTACATATGTAAAACACAATTGGACATTATCATGTGCACATTTTTCTACTAATCGGATGGCGTCGATATCATAGAAATGGGCAAGGGACAAAAACAAAAACAAAACCAATCAAAAAACAACAAAAAACCCATTAAAAAATCAAACAAAAAACCTACCTTCTTTGTTTTCACATATCACCCCAAAATATCCCAGTTCACAGACACACTTTGCGGTGCCTCCCTCTGAACTGCACAAGCCTCTGTTCAAACACTCGACGCCATCACAGGGATCCTCAATCGCTGGTACAGAGAATAAACAGAACGCCTTTATAAGTTTCTACAGAAGAAGAAGAAGAAGAAGAAGAAGAAGAAGAAGAAGAAGAAGAAGAAGAAG